TAGTTTCTACATCTGCTGCACATTTAGCAGTACCTGGTACTTCTTTATTATCCTGTACTTTATATAATGGAATGCCGCATTTAGCTTTCACTAATGCTAGAGCATATATATATCATAAAGAAATGGGTATATAAATTATATTATTAATAAAATCATATTTTATACATTATATATAATACATTTATAAAAAAATATTAGGTACATGGTTATTAATCGGCGATAGTCAAGATCCTATATGGCGTTGGGCTTCATTTAATGCATCAAGTGCATCAGGAAACAGAGCTCCCAAAGGACCATTATCTTCCTTACAAGAAGGACTATTTAGAACAGCAGGAAATACTTTCCCTAATCCAAGATTACCACATAGTGCTCCAAGCGTAGTATCTTATTTAGAACAACAATTACTTGCTTCTAAGGCTCTTGGAAGTGCTCAAGAATATATGCATTGGCTCATGGCTTTAGTATCATTTTTATTAACTCAAGGTATAAATATATATTTTTTATTTTTTTTATATTTATATTAATAATTTATTTTTTAATTTTGTCCCCATATTTTATAAAATAATATTTTTTTAGATGGATTGGAAAAACGTCTGAGATTAATTCTAGATGAATTTTTGGGTCCAAGTCATACATCAGCTTCTAAAAGTATATGGGATCCTTTAATTTTGGTATTATTTTAATATTTATTTTAATTAATATATTATTATTAATTATATAAATATAATATCAATATTTTTTATTTATTATATAGGGAATTAAAAAACATAAACTTTTGGAAGATGTATTATCTATTATTGGAGGACATCTTCGTTGGCAAAGATTGTATCTTGAATATATGGAACAATTAACAGCGCTAAAAAACCAAATTAATTAAAAGCAATTATTAAAAATATATATTTAAAATAATATATAAAACATATTGTGATTATTATATGTTCTAAAATGGTGTTAGAAAACTTGAGAACATAATTATATTTATAATAAAAAAAAAATTACGATGGTAAGTTCATAAATTTCTTACTTCAAACAATAATTGAATGATATGATCATTTCTAATTTCAACAATAATAACACAAGTATGTAAATAAATAGCGATTCGATTTCATATCTCATCCTTTTTTATTATTTTTTTAATTTAAATATTACAATACATTATTATACATAAGTATACAAATATATATACACAAATAATCAATTAAGTATATTTTTAAAGCAAGAAATTTATGAATTCATAATTATAAAAACTGCCTTATTTATTTTAAATTTTGAAATCGCGCTCAGGTTTTCAAGTGCCCTTTTAGGATTAATATCTATATTTCTTGTATATTTTTAAAAATAATCTTTATAAAACAAAAATATTGTACAGTTTTTTTTTATATCATAATGTGATGATGAAAATACGTATATAATAGTGAAATTTTATATTAAACAAATGATCTTTTTTTATTTTGAAACTTAATAACATTTATTATTAAGCAATAATTTAAGTACTTGTTTTTACTAGAAAAGTTTCTAATATTTGTACGTAATATTATGTATAAGAGTAAAAAGATACAAGATATTAGTTGATTAGAAATTTTAACAATTTTATATCACCTTTATACAATACATTTTAAACAAATCAAGAATCTGACAATATATATAACAATTATTAAACTTTAATATTAACATGAAAATATTTTATTTGGATTATAATTATATTTATTTATATAAAAAATACTTATACTAATACAATATAATATTCAAAAATATGATACAACAAAGAAATCATTTGATGTATTTCATATAATTTGAATACATACTACTTCATAAACTTATTAATTTTTTTAATAAAATTGTAATTCAAAATAATGTAGTGTAAAAATAATATAATAAATATTAGAATAAATAATAAATAAATATTAGAAAATTCTTTCTTTAATTTATGAAGTACATCAAATTAAATATATATAATATTATATATATAATAAAAACTATTACTTATATTAAATTGTTTTATATATTGTTTTAATATATTTTTTTAATAATTATAATATAATATAAAAATGTATTATATATTTATTATTAATATTTTCATATGTATATAACAGATAAAAATAATATTTACATGAATAATAAATTATACTATTCATATATATTTTATTGTATATAAAACATAAGTCATTTAAAACATTGAAAAAAATAATATGCAACTATCTATTAATAAATCATATTAAATTTATGTTTTTTTATGTACTATATATTATTTTATGTATATTAAACTTGCATTAAGATATTTACATTATTCAATCTATAATAAATAACATAATACAAAATATAAATTAAATACAGAATGTATTATCTGCAAAACATTTTGTATAAAAATAATCATTTTAAAAATTCCTAAAAACAATATAAATATTTTTATATAATGACTACATTTTTCGATATAAGAACATATAGAAATATATATATAATATAAAAATTCTTCAGACATAAATTCAAAAATATTATATTTATATTTATATAAAATTTTCAGTTATTTATTTGTCTCTCAATTGACATTGTAATTAAGAAAATAAAGATGCTCAATATAATTTTAGATGAAAATATATTAAATATGCATAAATTAATTTTATCTTTATATTAAGGCATTTACATTTTAAGGCATTTATGATTAGGCTCAAAAATTTGAATTATTACGCATACAAAAATAAAATTAATTTCCTTTAAAAAATTGAAATATTCACTAAAAATCGTTAATAACACAGCAAATAATGTATATTCTGATATATATGATATAATATATATATAAATGTAATTCCAAAAATTATATTGAAAATAAACATAACATAAAATTATAAAAATGATATAAGAATATGTTAACTATTTTAATTCAGAATAACAGAATATTTATTGAATATAGAAAATCTTAATTTTTTTGTATAAAATATAAAAATTTCTACGTAAAAAAATTATTATAACAAAACTAAGAAATTTTATTTCATTTGATGTATATGTGTACTTCTAACTGTCTATAATTATTATCAGAACAAATTAATTAATATGTAGCAATCAATAAAATCTAATTTTAAAAATAAAATAAAAAAATAAATTTCTTATAAAATAATTAATTTCATTTATAAAAAATTATCACATATTTCAAATTATAAAATTATTAAAAATAAAAAATATTATAATTGAACATCATATTTAAAAAAACTTTTAAATACCATTATTATACATATATATAATTATTATTTTTACTTCTATTCTATTCTAATTAATATTTCGAAAACTCACATTTGTATGATACATTTGTATGATAAATTATAAAAATGTATTTATAATTTATAATCATTGATTATGTATTGAGCTAATGCAATTATTTTAATTTTAATGTAAATAACTTTTAAATCTTTTGTATCTTTAATGATCGTTCTCATTTAAAAAAGAAATTACAATATACTTATATATAATACTTAAATATTCATATTAAGAAATATATACAAATAAATATAAGTTTAAAATCAAGACTATTATGTATTAAATTAAATCATATATAACATATTATACTTTCAACAATACATATACTTTCAATAACACATATCTTCAATTCAATAATGAATTCTAATTAGTATTTAATACAAAGCAGACTATAAAATATATTAATTATATCTTTCATTGTAATAATGTTCAGTATATTAACAATTGTGATATTATTATTATCAATATAATTAATGAATTTTAAATAAGTCTATGTTAAATAGTGCATGTGTGTGTGTGTGTGTGTGTGTGTGTGTGTGTGTGTGTGTGTGTGTGTGTGTGTGTGTACACAC